CTGGGTGGGAGGTGGCAGGGGAGTGGGAATTGATGTGCATAGGAATTACTTGGAGATCTGGTTAAAAATCCAGATTCTGATTAAAGAGCTCAGCAATGGAGGCGGAGACTGCATGTTCAGTGAGCTCCCAGGTGCTGTGACCCTGCAGGTCCAGCAAGGCCATATTCGCTTCACTCCAAACTTGGAGCCAAGTCCTATTGGGGCCCTTCTTCCCCTGCCCAGCAGGGTGGGTTTGGACATACCCAATACCATGATGGCAGAATCACCTCAAGTTCATCCCAAGATCTTGGAGCCCAGCAGATGCAGAGGTCAAGACTCAGTACCTCTTCCTCTAGAGACTGGAAAGCTCTCACGCCTCTACAAAGCTCAGCCTGGGTCCCTTACCTTTGTGTCATTCTTGAAAGGAAAACGGACAATGGACCACCAACTATGGACCTGCCTGGGAATACTTGAGATGGCTCAGGTATACCCTACACTTGGCGATGTTTTTGCTTCATAAAGTGGGACTCTAGTGGGCACAAGAATCACTGGAGTCATCTCAACTTGACCGACAATCACTGCTGCTCACTGCAGCAGGTAACAGGGAATGGGCCTGTTCTCCCCCAGCTTGTTTTTACCTCAGTATCCTGGGTCCCTGAAAGCCTGCAAAAGTCTCAGGAGAAAATTTCTCTGCCTCTCAAAGTTGGGCCAGCTTTAGTGGCTATCCTGCACATGGGGGTGGGGTAGCGTGGGCGGGCACTGAAGCTATGGATTTCCTGTACCTGACAGTGGGGTAAGAAGAAAGATCTTGAACACGGGGCTTAAGTGCAGCTACTGTGCCGTGACTGCCTCGTTACACGTCAGTCCTACTTCTCTGACTGCATTCTTCTGATTTCCTCAGAGCTTGCTGAAGGTTCCACCTTCTCCCTCTCCCCCTTGGGCAATCTGGGCAGGAGCTCGCATCACTGTCCAAACTCGCAAGTCATAAGTGTTACTGATGCTTTCTTCATATCACAGACCTGTTTCCTTTCAAGTCTGCCTGTCACAGGAACTCATCTTCCCCTCCATTTTTTTTTTTTTGAGGTATAGATTTTACAGAGTGAAGTTCATAAATCTTAAGTTTAAAGCTTAATACACTTTTAAGTATGTAAGTCATCACATGGATCAAGCTATTTAGAATATTTCCATTGCTCTGGAAGATTCCGTTGGACACTTTTCAATCAATAACAATCCAACTCTGCCCCAGCTGAGTTCTATTTTGACTTCTATTTCTGGAGGTTAGTCTTCCCTGTTCTCCCAGCATCTTATTTCATCATAACAGAGTTATCCCTGTTTTATACAAAAAGAAAAATAAACAACAACAACAACAAAAACCCCACAAAACACACAAACAACAACAACAAAAAAACCCCAAACACAAGTAGGTTGGTTTTTCTAACCAGGCCCAAACTGAATACCACCCCCCATGATTGGGAATGGAAGGGGAGGTCTGGGGGATTCGCTTTCTAACCCCTTCATGTCCTCCTTGGCCTGGGTGTAAACGAGGACATAAACTCACATGTCGACATGAACAGAACACACCTCCATGATGAACAGTGTCATGGCTCCTTCAAGTCCAAGATGTTCTTAAAGTCCAATAATTCATGTTCTTATTGATTGGATAGCTGATGGTATTAAGTAATTCTATGGTTTGGATTTAAATGTCCCCCAAAGGCCATGTGCTTAAGGTTTAGTCACCAGCCTGTAGCAATACTGGGAAATGGTATCACCTGTAAGAAGTGGGAACAAACCACCATGTTCTCCCTGCCATGATGTTGTGCCTCGACACAATGGAGCCAAGAGACCAGGGACTGCAACCTCTGGAACCATAATCACAAATAAAACTTTTCTCCTTTTATTTCCTGAAGTATTTTGTTACAGCAACAGAAAACGAGAACAAGGAAATACTAACACAAATACTAATAACTAATACAAAGCAGATTTTTGGCATTGGGATTGTGGTTGTGTTTTTAAATGACAGAACTAGTCTCTTTTAGAGATATAGGTTGCAATTGAGCTGTGGGGGAGGGTAGATGAAACAAGATAAGTCACTGTGTTGATTAAGTATTGGTGATGGTGTATCAAGTTGATCATTCTATTCTTTGAATAGGTTGGAAAATTTCCAAATAAAAAAACCCTCAAGTTACATTGTCTCACATGAGCTTTGGTGGACACCTCACATCCAAACCATAACAGTCCTTGGATTGATGGACTGGGTTAGGCTCCTGTTCTCAGTGGTTCTAGGGCTTCTCCCAACACTTAAAAATAGAACCAAAGTCCGGTGATTCCCAGAATCCTCTGGATTGTGGCTCCTGGACTCTTCTCTGATCTCCTCATTCTCATGGTTCTGACTCCCTTTTGTCTTTTGAATTCTCAATACTTATGTTAAATCTAAAGAAGTATTTTTATTAAAGAAAACAAGAACTACAGCTAAAACTGAATGATGATCTCCCATGACTTGAGTCATGCTGGGCTTCCTGCTGTTCCTTGAGCATCATCCCAAGCACACTCCAGTGGGTATGTGTGCATGTTGGGGTGAGGGGAAAATAAAAATTTACCTTGCCAACTACTTTTTCCTCTTGACAACCCACTATCTAGCCTTGGCAAGGGAGAGGGGGACCTTCAATACTCACTAAAACCAGTAATTATAAAAATTGAGTAGTATCAGTGTGTCAGGATAATAACACTTTTTACTAAGTCTTAGTATTAAAAATTGATCCTGGGAATCCAGCCTAAGTGGATTCTAAACATTCTGAGAAGACTCACACAGAACACAAAACAGTAGTTACTTGTGAGGAGGGGTCAAGGATGGGGGAGACGGAGACTTGAGCTCCATCTATCATGTCTAATTGTTTTAAAGGAACACTTTTGTGAATTTCTGGTACAAAAAAAGATTTATACAAAAATGCTGAAGACTGAAAGGAAATGCATCCAAATAGTATTTTTCCACAGTGGAACAACAATGATTTTAAGTGTTCTTCCTTCAAGTTTTCTGCACAATCCAAACTTTCTCTATTGAGGACATGGTATAATTATGAAAGCAGAATGAAAGACCTTTAAATACACTTAGAAAATAAACAAAATAATTACCTCCTAACTTTCAAAAATGTTATTAATGAAGACATGGCTACAGAGGTTATTACTTGCACCTCATTAGTAACAGGAATGAATACCCATATCATCAGTCATGTCACTCATAACTAGCATTACAAAGTATAAACCAAACGGATGAAAAAATGCTTGCATGAACAACTGATCTTTCAAAAGCAATTCATATACACACAATTTAATTTTTTATATGTAAAAAAAATAAAGTTGTTTGGGAGGTTATGGTTGAAAATTTTAATTGATTTTAACCTTATGTTCAAAAATGAGATACTTAAATCCTATGTAGACACATTACAATTTCATATCATATTCCTGGGTTCCTATGAGCCTCCCGACTCAATAAATCTCAGCTCTTCTACCCCAGGCATCAGTTGCCTCACAAACCCATGTACAGTAAGTTCTTTCATGCCTGTTCCATTGACAGGATTCTTATATTTTTCAAATAAACAAAAAGCATTTTAAAAAATATTAATTCTATTTAAGAGCCCAGTGAAAACACTCTAACCTACTCAGATAAAGATCTTCAAGTGAGAATCCATTGAAAGGCAGCCTGGAACCCCCAGTTTGGGCTTAATTTATGTGATCATCATATGCACACCATAGCCATGGAACACGCAGGGACCAGAATATAAATTGGGACCTGAGTTTTACACCTTTATCATCTAGAAGTGGATACTTCATGAATAAAAATTTCAGGGGCCCCCTTTCCTGCTTCTATCATCCTGACTCTAAGCCTTTAAATTCGACACTGGAATGAAGAGCAAAGAAAACAGTTCTTCAAAAGTTGCTGTTCCCTTTCTGGATCATTACACAAGCTCTATCTGGCAACAGCTGAGAATGAAGACCACATTTTATCCAAGAGCAAGCTTGCTGCAAAGTGAGCCACACAAATGGCTTGGGGCTTAAAACAGATCATCTTTTTAAATGTTTGGCATTTCAGATATTTAACACCTGTCTTGTTACACAAGACTAGTCTTTTAATAAGTTCCTCCTTGCTTTCTTGATAAGATTACTGAGAAAGTCATTCCAAACCAACTACCGATGAGGTAAGCGAATATCTTGTAGCTGTTTAAGGAATGGGCTACTGCACTGGTTTCCTAGGCCTGCCCTAAGGAAGTGCCAGTAGTTTAAACTCGTATCTTCTCACCATTCTGGAGCTTGGTATTCTAAGAACAAGGTGTCGGCAGGCTGGTTTCTTCTGGAGACCTCTCTCTCTGACCGTCAAAGGGTCTTGCTGTGCATGTGTCCCTAGCTCTTATTAAGGAAATCAGTAATATTGGCTAAGGGAAGACCTACCCTAATGGTCTCATTTTAATCACCTCTTTAATTACTATCTCCAAATACAATCACATTTGTAAGTTTGGTGGTTTGACTATGACACAGGAATCTTAGAGAACATGCTTCAGTTTTAACTATAGTAAAACACAATTGATGTGTAAAAAGAATGTCTTTCAACTAGGCATTATACTTGTTGTAGCTTAGGATTGAATGAAAACGTTCAGAGAACTTGGCCTAGAGCAGCAGCTTCAAATAGAAAATGGTAATGGTCCAACCCAGGACCAGGGAAGTCAAAATTAGGAACAAAAGCCAAAATTCATTTCTTCACTCAAGGATCATTTTCTTGAATGGCCAACAGACATCCAACCAAAGGATGGCTTACCATTATTTCTCTATTAAACTCTTACTGCAGGTGTGGTCGCCAGATCACCAGCATCTCGTTCAGCAGGGATGTCTGTTCAGAATGAAACTTCAGCCCTGGAACCCTGTGTTTTAACATGCACCCAACCACCCACCCGAGTTTATGGGTCTCTGCCCTGAGAGATGTGTGCTGCCATTACACACCCACGCTCTACCAAGAAGAAAAGTCATGCTTGTTCAAGTTGGAAAGCTAAATATATCTTTATTTTACACTCAGTGCAATGTGGAACACGCACATAGTCTGCGTCACACCTAGTATCTACGTCCTCTGATTTTCATTTGGTGTATCACTGAAAACCTGGCAAATCATTTAGCTTAAAAAAAAAATCATAAAAAAGACCCCTAGAGGAAATGAACTAACAGTTTAGTCCAAATGACAGATTATTCATCTTCATTAGTCAAATCAGCATCTGCTGCCAGAGGAGTGAAGGCAAGACTGACCGTGATGATCGTTAACAAGGAAGACTAAGCTTTTGCTTTCAAGTATAAAATTTAGCCCTGAATGGCGAGTGCTGAACACAACTGTTACCAGCCATCAGGAGTTCAAGGCAAAAACAGTGAGAGCACTATGGAATTACACTTCTTTCTGTAAAATTCAGTCCCACAATCTGTGTGAGCAAGGAAGGGTCCAACACACAGGGAAAGTGGCAGTATTGCTCCAAGGGCCCTGTTCAAGGGCATGCCAGTGCCTCTCCTTGAGGCGTCTTTCTAGGAGCTCTGCTCTCTACTGCCTTCATTTTAACTTGGTCCTCTGGACGCATGGTGGCTACATGGGAAACTTTGGGTTGTGATCCTCACAGTTCCAAGAATCTTGGCTGAATCCAAGGGGAACATCTCATATAGCACATAGATGTTCTCGTGTAGGCTGCATATTATGTACACTGGCTCCTATGGGAGACAAAGCTTCCGTCCTCTTTGGCAAGAGAACAACATCCACGATGCTGCTCTGGCTACCTCTTTTTCATGTGTGCCCTCATGTGTGCAGCAATTGAGCCAGCTATCTCTGCATTCTTCTTATTCTGTCCAAAATAATCTAGAAACCCACCATCTGGTCCAATCAAGTACATTATTATCGTATGATCCACCTGCAGAGGAAAGGTAGAGGGAGAGAGATGACAAAAAGATCAACAAAATAGACCACTTATTTTACTGAATAAATACTACAGAATAAGAGAACTAATAACCATTGCAATGCATCTATTTTTATGGAATGGACTCTTATATATAGTAAATTCATAGCAATGGATTGTCTAAACTCTGTGTTCCAAAAATCTGTACCAGCTATTGCCTGTAACGTCAGCTAGCACCCAGAGTTCTTTTGATTAAATTCTTAACACCCCCATATATCTAATCTCTAAGAAAGAACCCACCTGGTAAAAATGGCTGTTGCAGGCTTCATAAGATCATAAGTGCTTGTGGAAGAGCAATTCTACTTTGCAAATACCTTACATTTTTGAGTAAAGTATCTCAGCTGACCCCTTAACCAGGGTAATAGAGATGCCCCGTGAAATTAAGTGTTGGTAAAAAATTACTTTCCTTGCAAGTTCTTGGGTGTATTCCTTTATGTTCTAGATAGAACTCATTATTGTCCAAATTCTGCTTACCATATTTTATGAGAACTCAGAAAACTATTCACTTGTCTAATTATTTAATCTATATGTCCTAATACAATATTTAGTCCTGATATTAGTAATTCAAATAAACAGGAAGGCATGTTTTTCTCCCCTACCACATTTTTATATATCATGAACACCATCTGAAGCAAATCACCTGGAAGTGCCTCAGGAGCTATAAATACTATATCCCTAAGGAGTCTGCTAAAATCTAGCATCTATTTTTCTGATTAAGTTCTTAAAGTGTCCCTCTAACTTAAGTTCAGATTAGTCATCAATCTTTTTAGCTAGTTGCTTCCATAAAATCCAATTTTAAAGAGCAGATTTGGCAGTATAAGTCCTTGGGATTTATCGCAGGCCTGATTGCTATCTGGCGAGACAGGAAGACAGGAATGTGCTCACACATACCAACTGGAGCACTCCCCAAATTTACCCCCAAACACATTATGTGTCTGTGAGATTATTATATTTTAATATACACATTCTTAAAGACATAGCAAATGGAAAGAGCCACTTGCCTACCCCATAAGGAAAGAATGCATGCAGGAGAGCTCAAACAGCTGGTGCCTTCCGTGTGCTATGGAAGAATTTACTGCAGGACCAAGACAGGGGCTTAACATTTCTCTACATATTTGACAGAGAAATTAGAATTAAGTCTCCAGTTCTCTAGTCAAACCTTGCTCTGTTGCTTATGCATCTCTTTATCCCATGTCTTCCTTTTTCTATTATTTTTCCTCTATTCTCTTGCTCTTAAAAACCATAATTGCAGTTATGCTGGACTTATTCTCTGAGTGTTCTCAACATAAACTACTTTCCAATACATTCTTCGATCCATATCTGTCACACTTGTCAGTGGTCACTTCTCAATATTTCATCTGAGTTGTGGGCAGGGCAAAATTGACATCTATTAAAAGTTCTAGTAGTTCCTAGTAGAAGAATGAAACTAGCTGTAACTGACACATTCTTTCACATGTTGTTTCCACTCCTGAGATAGGCATTTTCCTGTACAAATGGTGCACATGCTGGGGAGGGTAAGTTAGAGAATGCCAACTCTCACCTGAAACTCAAGCATCCTCCTGATTCTAAAGTCCACAATATTTTTTTTAATCATCATGCTGCTAATCTCTAATTCTACTGGGCAACAGCAACTAAGCTCTTTTAATGCCAAGTTATGTACACACACACACACACACACGCACACTTTTTTTCAAAAGGTAAATGCATGCACATAAAAATTCAATAAATTTATATACTTTAGTCTTCTTTCTGTTCTGGATCCCTCAGTTCTCAGAAGGAACCACTGCATTCTTTCAGAGAAATTTTCTGCCCCATATTCATTTTTATACATCAGTAATGTACCATTCTTTCTTCTCACTTAACAATATTCAGATCATTGTTCTGTATCAATACGTATATAATAGCTTTTAAAATAATGGTTGCTTGGTTTTCAGTCCTTTCTCTTTACAAACAATGCTACAGTGCATAGGATAAATTCCCCAAAGTAGAATCTCTAGGCTAAAGAAAGCATTTGACTTTAGATATTGATATATACTGCCAAAATGCCCCCTTGATGAGTGTATCAGTTTTAATTCCTATCAATAATGCATGGAAGTGCCTATTGTTCCAAATACATTCCAACAGTGTATTTCCAATTTTAACAATATATTGACAATACATTTACAAACTTTCTGACCAGTGCTGAAGTAATAGGTTAAAAAATGGTATTACATTAAAAAAAAACACATTTCTTTTATTATGAAATTGAATTTTTCCTAGGTTTGAAAGCAATTTGTGTTCTTTTTTTCACCCAAAAGTATTTTCCAACTAATGCTCATAAAATAAAGCAAAACTTTAATATATAATAGAGACTTAGCTTAAAGGAATCCCAAATGTTTGCCATGCCCAATTTACATATACTTTCAGTCTGAAGAGTCCATTCAAAATCCAGAAGCTTACCTTTTATTACTGTTGTCTGACATTAGGAAAATCTCAATTCCACCTCAGGTTGATCTTTACTCCCTTACTCCTCATAGGTCCTTTTTTTTTTTTCTTTTTTCTTTTTTTGGTGCTTCTAGAAATGGAACCCAGGGGCACTCTACCACTGAGTTGTACTCCCAGCCCTTTAAAAATTTTTATTTTGCGAAAGGGTTTCAATAAGTTGCCCAGGCTGGCGATCTGTCCTCAGCCTCCTGAGTAGCTAGGACTATAGGTGTACACCACCTTGTCTGGTGCAGGCCTCTAGATCCTTCTTGTCTCCCATACCATCTTGTGTGTGAAAATCTGTAACTTCAGGGGATATAAGTTATACTAATGAAAAACCTAAGAAGCTGGAGAGTGTCTCCCCCTATTGGTTGATTTAGCAAAAGTACAGCAATGAACTCTGATGCTTATCAAAAGATCAAATTCTAACTCAGTAGACCAAGCATATCTCAAAATAGGATCAAAGATACATTCTAAAGCCTCAAAGAAGTCTCCATAAGACTTATATATTTACATTTTAATTTTTAATATTAAAAAATTAATATTCTGATTCTGGATTAGCTGCATTATGAATACAAATTTCAGGATCCAAACCTGTGTTTTCTTTCGTTTGCTTTGTTTTCTGATCTTGCTGGCACCTAGCTATATACTACTAGCTATAAACATGAAAATGATGTATCCTCGCTGCATCAAGACCAATCAATGAAGGCAACTACACAATCAAAGAAAATCGTAGAGGGGCAGCTAGAGTACAGTTGGATATCTGATAGCAGTTTGACCCAAACCCCACTTCTGTGGTAAGCAGCATTTTGGTTTTAGCAAGATATCTCTTGATATTTTAACTGGATATTATAAATTTAAATTTCACAAGCTATCAAGTTTCATTTGTAAAATTTTTGTTGACATAATTAGAACTATAAGACAAGCCTAAGGAGAATTACCTAGCTTAGGTTGTACATACTCATAAAAAAGTTTGTGTAAGGCTCCTCTGCTCCCACTGTCATGTTAGTTAAACTCAAAACCAGTTAAAATAACTCTGTATAGAAAAAGCACAGAAGTGTAAAAAGTCCCTTTGCCCATGACTTCCTCTCTTGGCCCCGGGACCCCTTTGCTCTTCTTTCTTTTTATGTCACCAGTGCTTAAGAGGAAACCACAGGAAGGTCTGTCCACTTCCCTTAAACTCAGGGCTTAAGAAAAAATGTTTGATTTTCTCTTGTCCTCTTCTCCCATGAACTCAAGTTTCCCTAACACTATGAAGAACCGGACCTAGAAGGTGCACACAATAACTCTGTGGGCTTGATTAAGACAGAAGGGTCAAAAGCCTGCTTTTAATTTAGGCTACAAACTATAGGGGCGCATAGTGTGTTCCAGGTTCAGACGATGCAGAAACCACAGTGGGCAGTAGAGACAAAGTACTGCAATGAGATATCCCTTCTGCACGTGGCTCTAAGGATACATCACGGGGAGCAGGAGAATCAATGATTTAGGGTGTTGCCCCTCCACACACCCCAAATCAGCTTTGTAGCTGGAAAGGCTCTTATGATTAATCACTTTGCTCAACTAATACAGAAAAACCAGAGTATAAAAATTGAAAAAAAATCTGTGATAATATATCAATTCAGTGTCAATGCAAATGTGATAGGAAAAACTGTACTGAGAAGAAAACAGTGGGTTGGAGTGGGGGCAGTGCTACGTCCGTTGATGCTGCAGCACCATGAGTGCTGGTGCACATGAAGGCAGCTCTTTAATGCAAGAGCTATAGATGAAGAGCTTACTAGAATTTCTGTTCCTCATTAAAAAACACATATTAACTCAAACTGTGCAAGGCACATAGTTGATATGCAAATAAACTTCACAGAAAATCTACCTTTCGTCAGCTTTCATTTTTTTCTCCTGCTTTTCAGAACACTCACCTAACCCAAAATGCAATTCCTCATGACCTACAACTGCTTCTATAAAGAAGCTTATTTCTTACTCCTCTTTATTAAGAAAACCAATATAATGTTTTTTAAACTAAAACTAAAGTAAGCCTTGCCTCCACAAAATGGCTCCTCTTCATTTGTAACATGGTACCAAGGTATCCGATTTTATATTGCCTCATAGATATATGTGCCACTAGAAAGGATAGATATACAATTAAATTATAAAAACACCAAATATAAACTAAAGTTATCTTTAAAACATATGCTTCTTCCTGGGTGCAGTGGTGTACACTTGTGATCCCAGCTACTCAGGAGGCTGAAGAAGGAGGATTGCAAGTTCAAGGCCAGCCTGGGTAACTTCCAAAACAATGAATAAAATGAACTGCGGAAGAAGTTCAGTGGCAGAGCATCTGTGGGTTCAATTTCCAGTAACACACACACATATATAAATAATTCTATTCTTTTAAATATCCCAAGGAATTTGCCATAATCTCAAGCTTTCTTTCATCTTGGAAGCCAGTCAGTCATTTAATGCTTTATAAATATTCAAGATCTAGGAGCTAGCCCGTGGGTTAAAAGCAGAACACTGACTTACTATGTAGTCTTCATCTTCATCTTTGGGGCCAGGACTATAATATACTCTATATGCTCTGGCCACTTGATCAATCTCTTCTTTTGTGCCAGTCAAACCAATAAGTTTGGGAGAAAATTCTAAATAAAACAAGAAAAAGACAGTAAAAAATGAGAAGCTAACAAAATAAACATTGCTACCTCAAAAAAATAAAATAAAATAACATCAGTTATAAAACAGTGCCATTGCTACGTTTCCCCCTGCGAATCCCCAAACACTTTTTCATGATTCATATGCTGAAAGTCTTATTTGGTTGTTGTGTTTGGTTGTTTTGCTGTGGTGCTGGGGATTGAACCCAGAGCCTTAACCATGCTAGGCAAGTGCTCTACCACTGAGCCACGCCCCCAGTCCATTTTCAAAATTCACATAGAACAAATGAAATTCTCCTCTGAACTACATATAGAAATTCAAATCTTTTTATGACTGATTAGGAAAGATCCAGAGGGAATACATTCCAATAATTTAAATGACACTTTAAATTAATGTGCTTTTATAAAATATATAGTTGAAATACAATGAAGTTTAAAAATATTCCCATGAATTAAGTACTAGTTTTTCATTGCTTATATGAGAAAAAAACATTTAAGATCATATTAAAATATCTGCATCTGGGGCTGGGGATGTGGCTCAAGCAGTAACGCGCTCGCCTGGAATGTGCGGGGCTCTGGGTTTGATCCTCAGTACCGCATAAAAAAATAAAATAAAGATGTTGTGTCCACCAAAAACTGAAAAATAAATATTAAAAAAATTCTCTCTCTCTCTCTCTAAAAAAACCAAAAAACTGCATCTTATTTTCCAATATCTTAAAATGGATATTAGGTGCTACTCTTAATTTCTGATAAAGAGCTGAACAATTAATTGATATCCATTATTTCAAGGACCAATTATAGCAAACTCAGGGATCAGGGTAAACCGTAGCATGTACATGCTGTTAAAGTTTTTGAAATGTATGTAAATGAGCTAATGGAAGTCATTTAAAACACTGGATTCATCGGACTACTGAAATACCAATCGAACATTTGGTCCAATGGTACACAAGCCCATGTTTGTTCCTTGGACTAATCCATTCTAAATTGAGGAATGACTCGGGTACTGAAAAAGCAAATTGGCTTATTTTTCTTTTTTACTCTTTGAGTAAATAATGAGAAAGGTGAACAAAGCCTAGTTAGCTGCATATCCAAACTTTTAAAAGTTGAACTTCTGAAACTGCAAATTTTCGAAAACATTAACTAAAAAATTTTAATCTCTTTCATTTCCAAATGTAACTAGCAATAAATGTGTGTATGTGTTGTGGAAGAAAATTACCACATAGTTGGTGTTTCAGTTAGTTACAGCAACTCAGGAATCTATTCATCTGAGAATATTATGCTTTAGTAATATGTGATAAGAATAACTGCTAATAAACACATTTAAATTAGAGATTGTGTATTACCCCATGAGTTAATTTATAAATAGCTGGTTTTAATTGCTTTTGGACAAAACTATGCTATTGGTTCTGAAAATCGTACAAATTACAGGCATAAATTTGGCTTAAATGTATAAAACAACAACAAAAAACTATAATTTTTTTCTATTCTTTTCTCCCTTTTGGCAGGGGGTACTGGGATCGAGCCTGGGTGGAATATATCACTGAGTCACATTCCCTGACCTTTTTATTTTTAGGCAGGGTAGTGTTAAATTGCCCAGGATGTCTTTTAGCTTACAATCCTCCTGCCTCAGCCTCCCAAGTAGTTGGGATTATAGGCATGCACTACTGTGCCCAACAAAAACTATGAACATTAAGAAGAAAACATAAACATCTGTCAATTTCAGTTAGGCAAAGACTTCTTATACACCAAACAAAAGATACTACATATAAAAGAATAAACTGATACCCTTGGACTTAATCAGAAATAAAACTGTTTTTCAAAAGACACTGTTAAGAGATTGAAATGACAAGCCATAGAACTGGGAAAAAATATTAGCAAATCGAATACTTGATAAAGGACTTATATCCAGAGTAAAACTAATATACCCATATATATATAGTCATACATACACACATGCAAAAACAATAAAATAGACAAAAGATGTGAACAGACACTTCACAGGTAGCAAATAAGAAATTAAAAAATGCTAATAGTCATTACAGAAATGATATTAAAAGCACAATAAGATACTACCATTAAAGTAGCTACAATTAAAAACATTGCCATACAAAGGGTAGTGTAAATATGAAGAAGTTGGAACTCTCATTTGCTGCTGGCAGAAATGTAAAAGTATACAATCATATTGGAAAAATTGTTAGTTTCTTTTTTCATAAATTTTTAAAAATTTGTTAGCTATAGGTGGACATGATATCTTTATTTTTGTTTATTTTTCATGTGGTGTTAAGGATTGAACCCAGTGCTTCATATGTGTGAGGCAAGTGCTCTGCTACTGAGCCACAACCTAGCCCCTAGTTTCTTAAAAAGTAAAATATACTCCATCTGATCTGGTCATTCTATACCTAGTTGTTTATTCAAGACAGATGAAAGCATGTGTCCATGCAAAGACTTATACATAAAAGTTATTACTTACCATAAGTAAAAACTGGAAAAAAACTGTATATCAGTGTCTACTTAAATAATAAAAAGGAGTGGACTATGATACATGTCATAACATAGGGGAATCTCAAAATAACAATGCTGAAGGAAGGCATTCAAAGAGGGTATATATTGTATAATTACATTTTTTAAAAATGGACCTTTATTTTATTTATTTATATGTGGTACTGAGAATCAAACCTGGTGCCTCACACATGCTAGGCAAGTGCTGTACCAGTGAGCCACAACCCAGCCCCTATAATTACATTTATAAAAGCCACTAACAAAGGCAACTATTATGTAACTGTAATAATAGAAAGCAGTTTTGTGATTGCATGGAGATGGGAGGATTAACAAGGTAAAGGAAACTTTTGTGGGTCATGGAGATGTTCATTGTTTGATTATGGTGAAAGTGACATGCTCCCCAGCCACTTAATAGCATAGCCAACTCACTAAACTCCATGAAAAGCAGAGGTAGGCTGAGGTAGGTTATACAGCAGGTGGTGAGCATGGGCTGTGGCAAGCCAGGGCACTACGGCCTGTCATACCGAAGCAGTCTGGTTATGGCCTGGTGCAGACACCCGCTCCACATACAGCCTCAGCCTGGAGCCCAGGATCATGATCTACCAACCTCACAGATCAGAAGGAAAATGAAAGTGGGGCAAACCCAAATAGGGATCACAGGACCAATCAATAGCATTAATACTTTCCAAACCCTGATTAGCATTAATTTGGACCAACAATGATGATCCAAGTGCTACAAAAACCCCTAGACTAGTACACTCAAGTGGCAACCCCTATCCAGTTCCTTCTTGCCTTGCCAGAGCTGTATCTTTGCTTCCCACTCAAATAAATCCTACTCTTTTACACTCATTCTTCCTCTTCAGTGGGTTTCATTCTTTGAATTCATGAGACAAGGGCTGGACATGTAGCTCAGTTGGTAGAGTGCTTGCCTAGCATTCATAAGGTCTTGGGTTCAATTCCCAGAACCATCACAAAAAAAAAAAAAAAAAAAAAGGTAAATTCATGAATCAAGAACCAGTAAACCAGTAAAGAAGAAATTGATGAGGCCTACAGTTTATGCAGACTCTACCCACCAGTAGGTAACCAACTATACATTTTAAATATGCACACAACTGTATGTCAATTATACCTCAATAAATCTGTTAAAAGTAATAAGATAAATAGCAGGTACTTCACAAAAAAAATGTTTACATAACTTGGAGTTTTAGAGAATGTGCATACTAGGTTGTTTTGACTAGGAATTAAATCAAATGCACAATAACTAAACTGTACATTCCTAATTTTTGAGTTCCTATACTGAAGAAACTTGAACCCAGAGAAATTAAACAACTTGCTCACACTAACAACTGAACATGTGTTATGAGTTCAAAATACAAATTTAACAACTCATCTTTAATTTTCCAATGTACACATTCCCAGAATATACATTTCTCCTAATTTTACAAGAAAGGAAATGAGGTAAACTAGAACTAGAGGAAATTTGTCCTTGCTCTCAATTCAAGGCTCTTTTTAGTTCATACATGAAGGTCAAGCCAAATCCTTCCTCTTGATAAAATACAAAGAGTGCTGCACCAGGAATTGAGAAACCTGCTTTTCATTTATTAACTAGCCAGGTCACCACTGAGTTTCACCTTTTTATTTGCCTGTAAAATTGGTGATAATGCTGTTTGTCCTATTTTAAGAGGCACTGTAAGCTTTAAATTAGTTGGTATTTCAAAAACTGTAAGAACTAAGTAGATATAAATTATTATAAACAAACATACCTTTCACATAATTTGCAATGGCTTCTTTTGTATCTCTCTCTGGGTCAATGGTGATGAAAAGTGGAGTTAAATTTGGCAGAGATGGAATACTATCTGGAAGAAAGTTCCAATTAGTATTCACAAGTGTAACAGCAAACTGTTAAGGAAACAAAGGGACATCTAACACTGGAGTGGAGAGGACAGGGAAGGGAGTAGGTCTGTATATTTATCGTCTGTTGTGTGGAACCAGGTAAAATATCCTATCAAATACATGTGCTGTTATGGAAACACTGTTACTCTGGATCCCATCATGTGGCCATCTTACTTTCTAATCTGATCCAGTGTTTACAGTTTTTTTTCCTACCATATCTCAAGAGCAAAATGAATATTAATAAGGATTAAATATCCCAAAGCTCTTCATTTGAAGGAGGAAGCACCCTTCCTTCTAAATGGTATTAATAAAAATACTACTAACTACAGATCATTTCAGATTTCCAAATCTAATCATCACTGGGGAGAAGGCACTATATAAAAACAGAGTTCAGGGACGTCGTCAGGCCACAGTGACAATTTTAAGTGATCTAACATTTACTATCAAAGCAAGTTTCTTTTGGTAGAAGGAAGGTTACAGAATCAGAGCAAGAAACAAGCTGAATGCCGAGATTTTATGTTCTTACAAACTAAATATTCATACTGCCCCACCTAACATAATGCAGGAAATGAGAAAAACAGTAACGTAAAGTAATCATAAATAGTATAGAGTTAGCAATGGCTTTCTTACCTATTTCATCCACGACATGAATCATTTTTTCTAGTTCTTCTGGACAGATATCAGGGCAATGAGTGAAACCAAAATAAATCAATACCCACTGGCCCAGGTAATCCTTGTCAGTTTTGGGTTCTCCTTCATGAGTTGTGAGGGAAAATGGTCCCCCAAGTAAAGGCTTTCCAATGCTTCGCTGCCGTTCCTTCTCCAGCTCTTAAAAAGACACATACACAACACCAAAAAGTCATTCTAACCAAATATACTTGATACATGGTTAGCACTATATTAATAGACCATGGGGGAGGCACAAAATGTGAACAAATTGTTTGTTTTCAATAAGTTAAAAATCTTTTCAGAAAAATAAACACAAAACAATAAAACCAAATTAAATGCCTTGATATGTAATAAGCACTATAAGAAAATGGCAAAACTATTTCATCCTCTTCTGGAACAATTCAGCCAGTAACATATGGATGTTACTTTTCTGATTCTTATGGTTATACTGTGATTACACTGGAGAATTTTCTTGTTTGAAGGAAATAGTGAAAGTATCTGGAGATGATAAGGCATCATGTCAACAAATACCATCAAATAATTTAGAAACACTTAAGGTTACCTCGTAGTAAATTTTCTAAGTACAACAAACACTATTGTAAAATGAAATTACAAACCAAAATCAAAAGATTGCATATTTAAATTTGTCACTTATTTTCCTTGCTTTGCATATCAATAAAATATTGATCATAATGCAAAACAGTCATCTTTATCAATATCAATACAAACTTATATTCTATACTAAAATTCTACAGAACCAAGATTCTACAGTCTATGAATTCTCATTCCCAGATTTAAACATTACTCTTTGTATAATGGCCACTAAAACGGCTCTAAAGTTAAGAACTGAATCAGATTTAAGCAATATCTTAAAGATTTAATTAACATTTCTAATCCAAATCTTAAAATCCTGAAATATTCACTAAAATATAAAGTTATTTTTTTTCTCCCTAAACATTTAAGGATGCTAATACACAACAATGCCTGACTCTCCATCAACCATGGTCAGCCTCTGGTGCTACTCACTGGTTTGCAGGATCTACTCTCAGGCAACCTTCTCTCACCCCAAAGTTGCGCCTTCCTTTGGGCCCTAACAGCACCTGGAGTTTCCTTCTGGTTTGCCAGAATCTCACCTAGTGAAACCCTTTCTTTCTGTGTCTGTTTCCCTGTCATGTGCACCTAAAAGACTGGATAGCACTTTAGTCATCTTTGTATTCTCTGGACTTCATACAGTACACATTCAAATCTATTCGAAATAAGTCTTTTAATATTGTTGGAAAGTGGGATTGTGAATTGATTTGGAACAGTAAAAGACATTGACTGAACATGTGATATTAAAATATTCTGTAGTGGTTAATTGTTCTAACTTTCAATTTTTTGGTTTTGATAAATGTGCCATGGTTATATAAGAAACTCAGTGAAAGTACACTGGGAACTTTCTATCCATCTTTGCAACTCTTCTGTGAATCCAAAATTATTTCAAAACAAAGTTTTTAAAACAACAATGAAAAAAAATGCTAGTCCAGACTTAGGATTTTATTCAGACATGACCTGATGATATCTACTTACTCTCTGTCTTTTCTTTCTTGAAGTACTTCATTCCAGCCAATAAAGCTCCTCCAATAGCAAATGTGAATGCTAAAGACTTCCAAGAAACAGGCTACTGGGGCAAATATTTAAAAAATAAAAATTCTAGTAAGTCACAAACATTTAACCATGCTGAAATTAATTTCAGCAGTTTTTAATATGCATATACTCAGGTCATGATCTTGTTAAATATGCAGAATGTTTCAGGTTACAATGGGATGATAAAATACTGAAAGTTTCTGCGAAGGCAGTTATAGCTGAGTTCTGAATACAGTCAATTACAAAGGTAGTCATTCCAGGGGAAAGCCCCCCCCCCCCCAAGTTATTTTCTGTTCATGTGGAAAATCAACCCAAAGAGGGTCAAGTACCATGACTATTAGCATGCGTGAACTTTGCTCCAACTGTTGATTTTAAAAAGCAATTACCAGCCTGTGCTGAAAACTGAAAATACACATAAAATAAGTGAAATTTTGCAAACTGCATCGAATTACTTCCAGGCTCTTTCAAGTTTCAAAATAAGAAAGATGTTTGCCACCTAGGGGGAGCTCATTAACCCTTTCCACAACTCCGAAAACCCAGTTCTCTCACCTGTCACTAGAGGGTAGTAGCTCTCAATTCTTTTGGGGTCAGAACTAGAACTGGGGGGTGGGGGGGGGGAGGGACCCAAGAAATAGGTGTATGCACACACATCTAAAATCACCTATGTTTCAATTTCAGAAGGGGGATTCAACAGACAGAAATTATAGACGTGCTCTGGCACTTCAATTATAGTGGTTTGAGAACCTTAAGAAAAAACTGGAATCTATGTGTTAAGTCCAAGCCCAAGTATCTAACCCCGCAGAGAAGGTGTTGGTTTTCAAGTTCTCGTAAACACTGGCTACTGATAAACCAGGGGAAACGGGATGACATTCCATTAGGCAGGTAAAACCCCCAAGCTGAGGACACTTTCAGGCTTGACCGAGTAGTCTCTGAGGGTTTGACCAAATGGAACGGCTGCGGACAGCGGCGACAGGAGCTGGAAGGGCTCCAGGTGTACACTCACCCCAGGTTTAGAGGGGCGCGTGGGGTCTCTGCTACCCTTCGACTCAGGACCTGACGACCCCGGGGGTGGCGGCACCGCGGTACTTAAGGGCCGGCTTCTCAGGCAACTGCCGGGGAACTTGGAGGCCAGCCGCAGCGCCTCATGCCGCGCGCAGCACTGCGTCAACAAGACTCTAGCAGTCCTCTCCGCCAGCACCCAACGCTCGATTCCGCTAGGAAGGAGACGCCAAAGTTGGCCGCCTGGGGACCGGATAACCCGGCCGAACCCTAATATCAGCGCCGCCATGAGCTTTCGGTACCGTACCTCCTTTGACCCGCCCCACCACTTCCGGTGCCGCTTCCGCTTCCTCCGGAAGTCGCAAGAAGCCGCTCTTTCCGCTCTGCTCGGTGGTGGTGCCCTAGCTGGTAGTCTTGAAGCCTTTGCCGAGGAGCCTGCGGGCGGTAGGTGGTTCCTTGGGAAGCGGGCCCTGGAGCGGGCCGAGGGGGCGGGGACAGCGGGGCGGTGGAGAGGGGACGCTCTCAAAGGTCCCAGCTAGACCGGGCCGGGGCGGTACTGAGCCCTGCTCAGATGAGAGAAAACACTGGCCGCAGTCTGGCAGGGCTGGGCATCCCCTTTCCCTCCACTTTGTTGGTCATCCATCTCACCCTGGTCCAGCCCAGTTTGGACGCCGGCCAGGGGAAACTACGGGGTAGTTGATTCCTTCACACTTGCAAAATATAAGTGGACCTGTTGCGCTTGAAATAATCCTTTGATTTAAAAAATATTATAAACAATTTTTTAACTTTGTGCGGTTAGGGTGGTAAAAGCGAGTTAAGTGTAACCAAAATGCCCAGCACTTCTAAGGATACATTACATCGTAAACTGATTATAAAGCACAGTGCTGTACCGAGCATATACTGCGTTAACCCTCCTTAATTCAGTCGACAGGGGCTCCAGTCTCTTAAAATACTCTCACTGCTCCCTGCCCCCTTCAATTTTTTGATTAAAAAAGTTGCTGATGGCTTCCTCATCTGAGACCTTTTCTGTTACTTGGATACAGGCACATATTAATGAGACTAAGGTCTATATAGGTTGGTTTATTTTTTTGTTGTTGTTGCAGAGAGCATTGATTTCATTTGCTTTTGTTAAGTCTCAGTAGCTGCAATCTTCATCACCACCCCACCACTTATGTGTGGGGCATTTCCAAAAATGCAAGGGGGGAGAAAAAAAACCCCAAACCCCAAATCTCCTATCTCCTTATTTACATGATTCCCATTCTTGTGTGATATTTTCTTCAAGGTGTAATAGTGAGAGAAAGGCTTTACCTTCATGGTGCCCCACAAAAATTCCAGGAACCAGTTGAGAGGAAATTAGGTTTATTCAAAGCTGACTTTGAGTAAGACAGAGGAGACCTTTCTGTCCCAAATCTCCATCTTCAAGGACTCAGGGGTGCAGAAAGCTTTTTTGTAAGAAAAAAGGAGGCAAAGAGAGACAAAAGGCAGGAAATATACATTTTGTAATATACACTGGTAATATGAATATATACTTAGCTAGCCTGAATATATGTCAGTCTTTATTTCCTTGGCATTTTGGAGCTCTGGTTCAAGAGGACTTACTCAGTGCAGAAGCAGCTATTGTTCCACTGATTACTGGATTTTTGCAAAGAATTTTGTTTTCCCTGTGATTTGACCCACCTAGCCAGGGGTGCTGCTCCCTAACCCAGTAAGTTGTAGTTCAGTAGGATTTGTTTTTTTCATCCTAAAGTTCAGCTGGAAATTTCTGAAATTTATGCTCAAAATTAGAAGAGTTGCTAAATGTTTCCTTAGCATTTCAGATCATTGTTTGTCAAAACTAATTTTTCTATCTTAGTTCCTGTGGTAAGATTTTCCTCCTTATTTCTATGTATTTGTTTGCCCAGGGAGAAGTTTTTTCATGTAATCGAAAAAGGACACAAAAGCAGCTTTCTTATTAAGGCAGAATTATTGTTAATTTCTTCAAATGCTCCATTGTGGGTTAACTGAGCAAACATATATTTTATTGAATTTGATGTTTTTTAGCTGGTATATTAAATTTTATTTACTAAAGTGATTCTATTTATCAGAGCAATTTTACAAGTTTTTCACATTAAGTTTATAATTTTAGATGAAATTGCAGCATCTAAATCAGTTTAAAGCAGGTATTTTAGATCTACTTTGGACAAATGCTAATAACACCTTTGAGTCTGATGGACCCTTGCTGAAAGTATACAAAGTGATATCTAGTGTGAGTCTATCACTTGTATCACTACTGTAAACCACTGAGATCACCAAATGAAGTTTTTGCTTTGTTTTTTTTTTTTTCCTATTCATATACTTTCTTTGAGAAAGAAGGGCATGAATAAATACCATTTATATTTGTTCTAGTAGTAGTTTCAGGGCTTATTAAATTTTGTTCTTAATAAAACTTTAAGGCTAGTTTGACTAGGGTAGCTAAGCCTAAACGTTTTGTGAAGTTCCTGACACTGTAATATGTTGGCTTCATCTTAGGTGCAAACCACTGCCCCATGTTTGCCAAACCAGGAACATTTCTGCCTCAACTTTCCTGTTATGGTAGCATATAACATAGGTTTCAAGATCCCCTCCCTCTCTGGTGTTTTCAAAGTCTCTGCATATAAAATCTTTGCCAACTGGCCCCCTTCTTGAGACATACGTGGTTCTTTAACAGGATCTTATGATGCTGGAACCTCCAATCCTTTTCTTTTGCTTTGACAATGGTATAAAACATACTTTTTAGTACAGGGCTGTCTTCTTTCATAAGTTCCTCTTAGAAGCTTTGGGGCTTATTACAAGGAACTTCAGCCTTCTGACTCTTAGGTGTTATAGAAGTTTTATTGGTATTGTAGCAAATTTTCTGCAGTTAAGAATCCTTGATGTATCTTACTTATTTTTAAAAATCACTTAGGTTCTTCACAAAATGCTGCCTGTTTATATTGCACCCAAACTGGTAGCCTTTTTTTTTTTTTTTTTTTTTTTTTTAGAAAATACTATTGTTATTCTGTTTTATTCTAGTTTTAATTGAGACTCAGTAAACAGATATACTCTTAGATATAAAATTTAAAAATCATTTTCTTGTTTACAGAGTAGTTGCTGTGCATTATAACTTAGCTGCATCTCACAACAACATTATGAGGGACGGTTTTAAGTTCTGAAGCTTTCAGCAGCTCATGATTATAACTTTTTTAAAAACTAAAGCTTAAATAAGTTAGCAGATAATAAGTGGTGCAGGCAAAACTTTAAGAATAAAGTTCACTAAAAACTTGCCATTCTCCTTTCTCTTCAAAAGCAAAATACATTCCTAATTCTCAGGTCCAATTCTTACACATTGTATTGTCTCTCTACTTCAGAAGCTCTTGAAAAACTTCATAGATTTCCTTATACTGAGTAGAGACTGAAGGGCTGCACCCCCTGGCCTGACCAGAGATGGGTGAGACTGAGAAATTTCTGATTAACATAATCTAGCTAAATCTACATATGTATGTTTTCTTCCTTTTATCCTACTCTGCCTTCTCTTGTAAAAGCTATCTGTATCCCTATCTCTTCTCACCAGCCCAGTTCCTAAAGAAGTTTTTTGTTGTTGTTGTTTTTTTTGTTTTGTTTTTTGAGTGCTGGAGGTCAACTGCCCTACCACTGGGCTACTGGGCTACATCCTCAACCCTTTTTTAATTTTTTGAGACAGGGTCTCCCTAAGTTGCTGAGGCTGGCCTTGAAATTGCAATCCTCCTACCTCAGTCTCCTGAGTAGCTGGGATCACTGGCATGCCCCATTGCACCCACCAGGAAGACGGAGATTTAAGACAGAAAGCTCTCCTCTGTCTTTCTCAAAGCTGGCTAAATTTTTACAGGATTGATGATCAGAAAAGCCTATTCCCTCTGGTAAGATGTTTACTGAACAGGTCTTCCTGAGTTCCCTGGGCATCTTCCTGAACCATTAAGAAAAAAAATAATAAGCCAGAGAAGTAATTTTTTGCCCTCTGGTTCTTTTTACTTCTGAGCTTTTCTCTCTGTCTCTGGATGTGGCTTTGTCCTCCCTCTTGCACTTAGCAGGCCCCATTGCAAATTTAAGTTTCTGTTTTTCAGAATATTTTCTTTAATAGAAGTATATGTTGCCTCCCTACTTTTGACCTTATTTTTAAAAGCTGCATTTAACATTTTGGTCTCTTCTACCCCAGAACAGACTTTCGGTATGCAGTGTGTGCCCCTTGATAAGTTTTGCCACCTTCCTTTAACTTTCTTTAAAAGGTTGCCAAATCTTGGGGTGTCCTTCAAGTTCCGTAAATTGAAACTGTGGATCCAATGAAAGATGTTTTTGGTATTATGGCAAAAAAATTAATTTGATTTGGCTTTTAACTTGGGGGAATTTATTGGCTCATATAACTAAATGGCCAAGGATAATTCTAGTAGAGACAGGTAGATGCAGGTGTTTAACTGCTGGTTCCAGGAATATACTTTGTGTTGGGAGTCTCCCTGAGAACTCCCCGGGCCTTTCAAACATGGTGGTGGGCAAATTGCCAGTAGGCAGCTAGAACTCCCCGGGCCTTTCAGATAAGGAGCCCCTAATGCAACATGGCGGCGGGCAAGTTGCCAGGGGGTGGATAAAAAGTTGTTTTGAAAATTTTCTTGGGCTGGGAATGTGGCTCAAGCGGTAGCACGCTCGCCTGGCATGCGTGTGGCCAGGGTTCGATCCTCAGCACCACATACAAACAAAGATGTTGTGTCTGCCGAATACTAAAAAATAAATATTAAAAAAATTCTCTTTATCTCTCTCTCTCTCTTAAAAAAAAAAAGAAAGAAAGAAAATTTTCTAATTGGTCCTCCCGTCTTCCGCACTCGTGGACAGTTCGTGCCCCCCATGAATCTTTTTTTTTTTAATTGGTTGTTCAAAACATTACAAAGCTCTTGACATATCATATATCATACATTAGATTCAAGTGGGTTATGGACTCCCATTTTTACCCCATATACAGATTGCAGTATCCCATCGGTTACACATCCACGTTTTTACATACTGCCATAGTAGTGACTGTTGTATTCTGCTACCTTTCCTATCCTCTATTATCCCCCCTCCCCTCCCATCTTCTCTCTCTACCCCATCTACTGTAATTCATTTCTCTCCCTTGTTTTGTTTTGTTTTTTTTCCTTTCCCCTCACATCCTCTTATATGTAATTTTGTATAACAACGAGGGTCTCCTTCCATTTCCATGCAATTTCCCTTCTCTCTCCCTTTCCCTCTCACCTCTCGTCCCTGTTTAATGTTAATATTTTTCTCATGCTCTTCCTCTCTGCTCTGTTCTTAGTTGCTCTCCTTATATCAAAGAAGACATTTGGCATTTGGTTTTTAGGGATTGGCTAGCTTCACTTAGCATAATCTGCTCTAATGCCATCCATTTCCCTGCAAATGTCATGATTTTGTCAATTTTTAGTGCT